ACCCTCCTCTCTCTCTCTCTCTCTCTCTCTCTTTTCCTCCCCTTGCGAAGAAAACTGACTCTATGAAAAGCGCATTTCACAATGTACCTCACTACCCTTCTTCAAACCCCCTCGTCGCGCGCCACAACGCACCTGAGCTTACGTACCGTGACACCAACGCTGTACACCGCATTTCCCAAACACTGGCTGGAGACGCTCCTCCAGCGACTGCCCCGCCTGCGTTCGCTGGACCTGAGCTCGTGGCCGCTCCTCGATCACGCCGCCTGCTGCGCCGTCTCGCGCCCATCGAATCTGAGGAGCCTGACTGCCCGGGGGTGTGCGAATTTGACGGTGGGCGGGCTGGTCAACCTGTTGGAACATCTCCCATGTCTGGAGGAGGTTGATTTTTGCGGTACGAAGGTTGCGGCTGCCACCGCTGTTGTCGCGGCCATGGCAGGGTTACCGCTCGTTAGAGTTTTGGCTAGGGATGTCGGGCTCGCGGACGGGGCTTTGGAGGTTCTTGCGAAAGGGTTGGGGACGAGGGTTAGGGAGGTGGATGTTGGCTGTGATGGTGTGAATGCCGGGAGGGTTGGGGAGAGAGGTGTTGAGGCGTTGTTGGGGTATTGTTTTGCGCCGCCGGTTTATGACACTGCCGCTGTTGGTGCGACCGCCGGCGCGGCAGCGGGGCTGACAAAGGTGGGTGTATCTGGGAATAAATTATCGTCACGGTCGGTGCAGACTCTGCTTAGGACTACGCGATTAACCTCACTGGATGTTGGTCCGTTGGAATCTGTCGACGGAATCATGGCCGCCGTTAGGATATACGCGGCGGCGAATCTGGATTACTTGAGGATTGACTGGAGAGTTGTTCTCGATCCTGCATTTTTGGGTGTTGGAAAGCTGGTGCTTGTTAACGTCCCCGCGTTCGCTAGTCCCCGTGCGGCGCGAGGGATTGCCGGGGTGGTTGGGACGGAGGGGGTGAGGGTGCTGGAGCTGGAGATGGAGGTTGGTGATGATGGGTCTGGGGATTTCTCCTTCTTTGAGGAGGAGGCCGGAGGGAGGGAGAGGGAGGAGAGGGGGGATGTGGACGTACTCTCTTCGGTTGCGAAACGCAAGAGGGAGATCGGATGGCGCGGGAGGGTGAGGGTTGTTAGGGATCTGGCCGGCGGGGAGAGTACCGAGCGGGGGGTCTCCGGGGAGATGTGGGGGGTCGTTAGGGAGGGGGTTTAGCTAGAGAATGGCTAGTAGCGACACGCAAGACACGCGATGGTGACACCGGACTTGTGGCCGGACTCGAAAACCGGGAAGAAACATATCTCGGCGCCGACAAAGGATAAAGAGAGAAAAAACCACAAGTATATGTACAGCCCCTGTAAGCTACACACGATCAACCACACAAACGCACACGCATCGTGCGCCCATCACTCTGAATACTTGGAATGATAGCGGCCGCTACCTATGCTGACGAATAGGCCCCAAGTACTCTGGATTACGCCCTCTGGAGAGTCAGGCCTATGCGCCAGCGTACTCTGGGAAGCCCTGGCCCAGAGCTACCTTCCGAGTGATCTGTAATGATCATGTTCCGAGTGAAACTGCACATGAGCGACGGTTAGTGGGTGGGGGAGCTTTGATGAGCGAGAAATGGTAGGTAGGATCTGTATAAACGATCGCAAAAGGGGTGGCGTTAAGGCCGTGGCATGTTCTAGCTTAGGGGACGAACTGCTGAAGGTTCATGAAAAGTTCGTCCTCCTCGGTCGCGAGAAATCCCATCAATGGTCAATATTCACCGCTTTCTGAAACTACAATTTTCCATAGTTCCATCTCGTCTCATTAAAGCCCAAACGCATACTCCGTACAATAACTCGTAATCGCATAACTTCCTCCCTCCTTCCTCCCCCACAATCCTACATCCCACTCCCGGTCCCGGTCGACCCTCGATTACTCGGCGGTACCGGGGATCCCGGGATCGACTGCCGCGGGATGCTATGTATAAGATTCGGATCAAGTTCTGTGATATAAAGTAGCGTTCGAAAAAGAAAAAAAAATCAGCCTTGCCCGACTCTACCTCCTGACAAATCTCATATCATGTGGGGAGGGGAAGGCAAACCAGAATATCTCTCCGGGTGCTGCCCCGGGGGTTGATATGGTTGAAAATACGTCACTGGCGGCGATTGCGGCGGCGGTGGTGGGATCTCGGCCATTACATTACCCACAGGTTGATTCCCTGCCCACCCCTCCGCTTCCGCCTGCTTCATGCGCTTCTTCCATACCAAAGCTACCACGATAACTATCACTGCTACCCCACCCACCCCACCACCAACGCCGGCGCCGACTTTCGCTCTGGCGCTCAGCCCCTTTCGGGAAGTCTCTCGGGAAGTCCCCCGGGAAGCCTCTCGGGGAACGGTTGTTGTCCCAGATGTGAATCTGGTCGTGGTTGTGGTGGTGGTTGTAGAGGTTAGCGTTTCCGTCGAAGTTCTGTCCACGAGGATGAAGGATGTGCGGGTCTTGGTTGATACCCTGGTTATCCAGTACGTGGTCAACCGGGTGGTGGTAAGGTAGTAGGTCGACGCGGGGGTTTCAGTGACGGTTACGGTGTAGGTGATGAAGAACGTGAAATCCGCCCTCTTGGTCAACCCCCTCCTCCTGTTCTCCTCTTCTAGTCGGCGGGCACAAGGAGTGGGAGTCGGCATACCCCTCCTCGGCAGCATGGGGGGGCTAGTCATGGAGATTGTTTCAGTGACAGTGCTGATTTCCACAACTGTCGTGGTCCAAACGTCGGCCGAGGAAACAAAAGTCCAAAAGATGCTCGTATCCGACGTTATCGTGGTGATGGTCAGGGTAGTGGTACTGGTACTGGTACTGGTGCTTCGAAAGGTACTCGTAACGGTCACCGTCCGCGTCGCCCACAGGCACGCCCACCTTGTCACGGCGCTGCTGTAGGAGCAAGTTTGGTCATTGCAGCAGTGGTACTCCGAGTCGCACGTGACGGTTTGGCAGGCTGAGCTGGTTTGGCGGGGGAGCAGGAGGGTCAGGATCCTCGTCACAGCGAAACCTGTCCCCTTCCCAGTGCTGTTGCCGTCGGCGTGGGGCGAGAGGATGCGCTGGGCGGGCAGAGTCGGCGGAGCGGGGAACGGGCATGTCGGTGGGTCCCAGGGTAGCGCCCAAGTCGGGTCTATGAATGGGAGAAACAACAGGGGGACAATGTGGAAGGGAGACTTCATGGTGACCGGCGCTCGGTGAAGAACGGGTGGGGGACTCCATGCTTAATGTATCGTATCTCCTTCGTCTATCCCCCTCACTCCAGTTCTGGCTCGATGTGATGGGAGGGATGAGGGATGATTGCTTTTTTGTGCTTGTGCAAGTACAAGTGCGAGCGCGGTATGATATGATAGGCTCCTTTTTTCAAAGGGGTGAATTGAGTGCATTCTGGGCCTTAGGGTCAGGTAGGGCTTGTGGAGGCGATGTTGCTTTTGCACCACCTCGACCAGTCTTCCCGTGGCCCCGATTGGCTGTCGATCGAAGAGAGGGATTGTGTTACTTACACCACGGGTAGGAGGTGAGGTTACGGTAAGTTCGTGATGTGCAAGCACAGCAGCTGGCGATGGCTATACGGTGGAGGGCGATGCCTGAATAGTTTAGATGCCCCAGAGTTTTGGGGAGTGGCTATTTAGTTTAAATCGACGGTACAGGCGAGAGCCAGCCAACTCCTGAAGGAATCCCAAGGGAATTCGTCGAGCGAACCACATTAAACGTGACCATCGCCCGGATGAAGCCCCACGAAGAAAGTGCAGAGCGATGCCGTATCAATATGATAACGGGCGCAGCAACCGTAACCTGACCTGTCAGGTACCGCTTACCCACCGCAGAGTTGGCACAATCAGATAAGTAGCAGGCCTAAACCGCAATAGGCTTAGCTGAGCAAGTTGGCAAAACCGGTTATGATAAATAGCGCGCGGGGCGCTGGTACTCGTACGAGTACTCGAGTACATGTACTCGAGTGATGGGATCCGGGGGGTTGGCTCTCTCTCTGGCGTGGCGGTAAACATTATTCCTTCTACAGTACCATCACCACTACCGTATATTGGAAAAACCCTTATGGCGATCCGCGGGCCAGGTAACAATGAATAACACTGTAAAAATCTCGAGAAATCCATTGTCAGTGTCAACCCGCTGTCCCTAATTTGGGGAGGGGGAGCAGGATCTGGAAAAGCGAGTTGATGAGGTTCAAGAAGCCTATCGTATAACGCGATACTTGGCGATTCATGGACAAAATCCAGATGCTTGACGCCAAAATGTCCAAATTTGCGCCCATTGTAAATATTCAAACCCGATCATGGCGTCAAAAAAACGCTGCTCCTTCTCGAGAGTTTTCTGTACTCGTACAGTATCATACCTGAATCCTGGGATCAGACAGCAGGCGGAGTACCGTATCATAGTCCCCCCGTAATTCATAGTGATAGTAGCACCCCTAATTATTGGGATCGAGGCAATCCGCCCCCCAACACCCGGCAGCGCACACCACCTCTCACAAGAGTACTCGTACGGTGGGGGCGGAGGATATGTAGGAGCACTACCCCAACGGATCATTAATTATAGGGAATATAAAGCCAAGCAAAAAGTGGCCGGGAGAACCCCCGGACAACCAACCAACAAACCACACTTTCACAGCGCTCGTATTTTCTATTTGAACGGCCTTGTGAAAACAAATGATATCGCGCACGGGCGAGGGTTCGACCGGTGCCTCAAGGTTTTTTGCGGTATGCGATACTGTAGCAGCGTCCTATTATGGGTACTGTATCCTATCCGAGTTACTACCAGGCACAAGTCCTTCAACCGCATTTAAAACAAACAAACAAGCTCGTGGAAACCTACAATCCGCCCTCCGAGTGCGAGTCCTCCATGTCTAGATTCAAGATATAATATACTGCAATCTTCCGTGATCAACTTCCTGTTACTAGGTAGTATATGATGAAAGAACAACCGCATTAGATTCCCCATATGCCATACCGGGACAATCATAGTATCACACAGCTTAAACTCCTCTTCTCGTGACTAATTAAGACGGCTTCTCCTCTCTGGCAAAACAATCGATTGCAATAAATCTCCTCCCGACGTCTACGGCAAAACTGACATAAAGAAAACTCGGTCGATCGTGAGGTGGCGAAATATTTTGGCCTTTCTGGATTACAAGGATGAAGTGTACTTAGGGGGGATGCTAGGTGGGCGGAAAGAAAACAGCTTGACGATAGCATCATAATTGTTAATGTGCGACTTGAAGTATTTTTTTTTTATCTGATATAGGTTTTAGGAATGCGTCGAGTTCCGTGAAATTGGCTGGCATCCGTGGTATCATACTCAATGCCTTAAACCTGTTGGAATGCCTTTCATTTCTCCGTATAAGTTATGTCCTAGGCCACCACCAGCACGGGATACCTTCCAACATCCCTGGCCATCCCCAAAATTTAATACAGAATTTGCCTACAGCCCCCGATATTCACTGTTTGTTGATAAAATGTTTGCCAATGACCCTACATGCTGCAAGCCTCCCAGCATCCCCGGGCACCTACGGAACCTGCCAAATTTGGGAAAGCCGTGCCTACAAAGTCCAAGTCAGTCTCGCTTCGACTTGGAATACCAAGACTACACGTCTAACTTATATTTTATGTGCACGCCAACCCGCCCGCTCATGAATGCGGCTAATGAAAACAGTTTTTTGAGGGCATACAAATTGTGTTCTCGCCATTGTTCCTGTCGGTGGGTTGTGACCAATGGCAAGCACAGCCCGGATCTAGCTCCCCACCGTGTCCCGAGGGCTTAAAAAGGAATACAATCCGGACAGCAATATCGGTTCCCTTCTGCCAAAATTGGCAGTCCGCTAACGGACTCGATTCGGACCGTCCCGACTCGAGGACTGTGGACGGGAAGCGCACAATAACACCATCGATGCCAGGAATCGGTGCAAACTCCCGGCGAAGCGGCACACGAAGTTACTCACAGCCGTAGGTATATTGGAACAATAGAAAATCTTTTTGAAATACCAGTGGCATACCCGGCAAGCCGAGGTCGAAATAGCCCATGTGCTGAAAGTGGATGGGACAGGTATCGATCCATTCATAGATTTCCCGGTGGAATCAAGTACTTGGAGGCTCGTGTAGGTATATAGGCATTCTTCCTATCAAGCTGTGGTGGCCAGTCCAGCCAGCATTCTGGAGTTGCAATACAGGACCAGAGCAGATAGAGTGGATACTTTGTGAAAACCGGGCTGGATTGATGGACCGGCTTGGCCGTGGAGAATATTGAAGTTTGTACCATAGAAACGGTCAGCTCCAGGTGCCGTTGGATTGCCTATCGGGTGTGTGGTTAGTTGATGTGCGGTTATCATATGGGATGGGTGACCTGCACTCGTAGGGCACAGGTTTCGAGTTTCCTGTAAGCGTTGTTACCTGTTGGAATAGGGCATCGGGCATGGGGATTCATTTTACTTCCCTCCGGTATCGTGAGGATTCCGGATGGTGTGGCTCTTTAGTGTTCGTGGTATTTCTCTCTCGGGTTCCAGAGTTGTTTGCTGTTTGGGGACGTATATCTCCCGTTTCGCCATTGGCCAGCGTGTCGTTCATCATAGATGATCAGCACTACTATCGATCGTTTGATATCCCCTCCCTCCACCACCCTTCCACGCCCTCAATAGCATATCCATCACAATCTTGGCTCCGAGTCCGCTAACACCCAATACCGTATTGCAGGATGTAGTAGATGTAGTGACGACCCATTTCCGGGCCTGGCTTACTGCGAGGTCATGGGAAGGAAATAGGAGCGAGTGAATGGTAGAGGTGAGATTTCGCTTTTGGGCGGCCGGTGGTGGCGGGACTCGTGGTGCGGTATTTCGATTCCTTCAGATTGAATGTAAGCAGATTATAGAATTAGGGAGGGCGATGTGAGGCTCCAAACAGTATCTCGGTAGGGCTGCAGGTTAAGTTACCCACTACTGAATCTACTCGTATAAGGAGTCCTCCTTCCAGCGCCACAACTCCCAAACCACGACCAGCTCCAAATCCGAAGATTGCTGGGCTGGCGGGGATGGTGGTTTTCAAGAGTTCCTACGGCACCGGTAATCCGTTTAAACTGCTGGGACCGTATCGAGGAGCGCTGACATGATACCGACCATGGATAACACAAGTTACCGGTATCTGTGGCGCATAGACTGAAAGGACTGCAAAGTTGACTTGTGGTGGTGTATGGTTACTTGTACTGTACGAGTATCAGACTGGTAGACTATTATGTTGGTGTGGTGACCTACCATACCCATTGCAATCATCCTGTCACTTCCACGTGGGTCACCTTATCACAACGGAGTTCCTTTGGGTCGCGGATATCATGCCTGTACTCGAGTACGGCAAAGCCCCCTTTCGCCCTATCGCGTAGCGGCATCATATCAAACCGCCATTGCACAGAACACCTTCATCCCGAGCACTTTCGCTTCATCTACAACCCCATGGTCCTCTGCCCGTACATTGCTATCGTACTGGAGCACCGTGCCGGCGCTCCAATATCTTTCTCTTCCTCCCCTCGCACATCGCAAATCACGCGAAACTGACCCGCCACTACCCAAACGCCAAGTAAATACAAGCCCTCCCCTCTTCTTTCCTCATGTTAACTAAAGCACAGCTTGGGAAACCACTCAACATTTTTCTCCCCCGGCAAGAATAAGACGAGAAATGAGCGATACCTCCCTCATAGACCACCCAACCCCCTCAGGCTGGTCCGAAGAGTCCGAAGGAGCGTTCGAGGAGGACCTTAGTTACTCGGACTACGGCAGCGAGTTGGAAGGGCGTGACTACGATCATTATCACGATGAAATAGTGGACGAAGACGATCATGAGTACGGTCAGACATTGCAGCAATCCCCCCTCTCCTGGGCGGTTCGAAACAACCACACGGATATCGTCAAATTGCTCTTGAGCCGAGAAGATATCCTGCCTGATTTGCCCGACAGTAACAGCCGAACACCCCTCTTCCTGGCCTGCAAATATGGCAAGGAGGAGATCGTCAGTCTACTGCTGGCGACAGGCGATGCTGTGGATCCCAACGCTCGAGAGCCTTGGCGTTCCTTCTCGCCCCTCACTGTAGCTGCATTTTGTGCACAAGAAGGCGTGGTAAAACTTCTCCTAACGCGTAACGATATAGATGCCAACATCCGCAGCCGTGATGGCCGGACTGCGCTCTCGCTAGCGGCGGCTGAGGGCTGTGAGGGGATCGTGGAACTATTGCTAGCATGGGGCCCCACCGACCTCAACTCCGTGGACCCGTTACATGGCAGAACGGCACTAGCCTATGCTGCGTGTAATGACCACGAGGGCGTGGTTAAACTCCTCCTGGCCTGCGAAGGCACCGAACCGAACCACGTTGACTTTAATGGCCAAACGGCACTATCCGCCGCGGCCGAGAGGGGATACCTGGGTGTTGTGGAAGCCCTTCTGGATCGCGAGGACGTCCTGGTGGGTGCGGAGGACCCCGGGCACACATCGGCGTTAGCCTTCGCCTGCCTACACGGAGAGGAAGGCATCGTGGACTTTCTCCTTGACCACCCGCGCCGTGCGGAGGTCGGGATGAACAGAGCCGACGAGCGACTCAGCACACCGCTTAGGTGCGCGATTTGTCACCGGAAGGAAGGGTTAGTCAGGTTGCTGCTGAAACGGAAAGAGGTTAATCCCAATTTTGTGGGCAAGGACGGACAAACGCCCCTCACCGACGCCGCACACAGGGGCCTGGCTGGGATCGTCGAGCTCTTGCTAGACCGTGAAGACATTGACCTGTCGTTTCGTGACGTCTACGGCCGAAATTCGTTAGATCACGCGGTGTGTAAGGGGCGGGTGGGGGTAGTGAAGGTGTTCCTAGCTCGACCCGGTATAAACCTCAATGAGGCGGGGCCCGATGGGCAAACAGCCCTTTCACTGGCTGTGAAGCATGGACAAGATGAGGTGGTGAGGATCTTGTTAGGGAGGGAGGATGTTGATGTGAATCTAGCTGATAGATATGGTCAATCTCCGCTCAATTACGCTGCGGAGAGTGGTAATGAGGGGCTAATGAAGATGTTGGTGGCTCGTGGGGGCGTAAAGACTAACCCGAAACTGGGGGGTGGGGGGTGGCCGCTGCTACGCCCGGCCCGTGGTATAACAGATGAATGGAGTGATCCTGAGGATGATGGTTAGTTTTTCTACAGGTGCTTTTTATACTTTGGTTCCCATTCAGCGCTCATCACCCTACGAGCCCTTTAAAAAAGGTCCTGTAACATTGAGGAGCCTTAGACATGTATAGGATATCACCACTGGATTATTGCATTTTCCAAACAAGTACGATTTTCAAGTCTAATAATAATTTAATGGCACTACTTATCCATTATATTCCGGAGGTTACTCAAAACTCAGTATTTTTTGAGTAAGGTTTCAGCCTTTATCACAGCACGCCAGCAGTTCTACAAGTATTGGCACTATCTATATGATACATGCTAAACAGGGGCTTAATTTACTATTGAAGGGGGGGGTAGGACACCGACAGCACGAGGGGAGATGAGCAGAGCGCAGCACAATGTAGCCAAATATGCTACTGTACCTGACTACCTGATCCCACCATCCCACTCAGGAATTTCGAGTGGTCAAAAGGTTTACAGATGTTCTAACCTCTCCTCCCCTCCGATAATGCCCGAACACAAGTGAAGTCAACCTCTCGGTATTTTAGTATGATACCCGAAGGAAGTTACGGACATCACCGTAACCCACCACCCTTCATAAGATCGGATCCACCAAAAAAAAAAATCCTATCCACAACCCGTTTCCAGGGTATGTACGATATAGTATAGTACACCCGGGGAGGAAACTTACAACAGCTTCAAGTTCTTCCAAAAGAAAGGAACCTTTAGTGTACATGTTATAATGTCTTTTTTTTTCCCTTTTTTCTCTCCTCGAAGGCCGATTAAATTTATGCAAAGCGGCAACCCCCCCCCCCTGAGACAACACACAAATCTTCGGGCTCCTTAGATAGACACAATAATTTAAATCAAAAAGGGGCTAGTTTACCAGATGAAATGGTTCGTATGCAGCCATCATACGAGTGAGTAGCTGGAATTTGATATTAAATTTTTGGCGTGAAATGGCCGTTACTCTGGCTATTACCCGGATGCAAGACTTATTTCACGAATTCCCGTGCCAATCGGTTCACTCGTGTATGTTGCACCTCTTTTGTTCTAGCCTTCTCTGGGCACGATGATATACACAAGAGCCCCCATCGATATCTTATGGATGACCTGTGACACAATTCTCGGCGCTACGTCTGTCCATCTAGCTTCCGGGCCAGGCCAGGCTGTAAAAGGAAAATGATACGAGTGATTACTTGTGATGGCAGTTAACCTGCCTTCGGATCGCAGGGTATGATATGATATCCTTTTCGTTCCAGTCGACGCTTGCTAATGATGTTTTTACCACTTATCGCGGAATTCTGTGTGCGGGGAGCTCAAAGGTTGTATATATCATACCGGGAGGGGAAGAAGGGAAGAGAAAATTGTGCCCTGGCTACCCTCTCTCTCCCCATTTCTGAAGCTCTAATGGCTCAAGTTCTATGGCAATGTCTTTAATAAAAATTCTCGGACAACTTCTGCCAGGAGTTTAACACGCCCCGCCCCGCCCCGCCCCCCAGGGTAGCTTTTGAATGTATCATATCTCAACTTATTTTATTTTTGTTTTTTGCTAGCGGTAGTTATTCATACCTGGGAGGGGACGGCAAATTTCAAGGCTATCGATGGTGAAGTGGTGGATTTTCATCCTTAATTATAGAGTATTTTGGCCCTTAATATCGTGCTGGAAAATCCGCATTGCGTTCAGGAATTGGTGGCTGGCTTAGTTCCCGAATAAGATAAAAGGAGGGGGGGGGGGGTCTCGCCCTTTAATTCTTGTTCAGGGCTTTGCTCTCTGTACCACCGATTTGGGGATGTCTGGAAGAAAAGAAAAAAAAGGTTGCTTGATCGGAAGGGTGGAGAGGGGGGAGGAGGAAGAGCACCATATCATAAATTTACAATTTCGCAACCGTTTCTCGAAGTTTGTGGGGAGTCGCTCCATGCTGGAGGGGCCGTGCAAGAGGTATCATAAAAAGAACCTCCAACCCACCAGAGGTTTTGTTTAATAGCTATATCATATCATAATACCATCTTATGCCACGGCTTAACTTTATGCCCTGATATATGGTCTGGGGGGATATCTGGCTTACCGTGATTTAAAATATCAGACTAGCAGTGATTTGAGATCACGATTTGCAAACACCTCTCTGCCAAACTGTTCTAAGGAATTTCAAAGCTGAAGTCACGATTTGGGTTATGCCCAAAGAGGATATTTAGAAAGTAGGATACAACAATCCTAGTTATCCCTGTATTATATCTCCCACTATTATGGTATTAAGGGATTTATAACTGGAAGTAAGAAGAACCCTTGCCCTAAATTATACACCCTTTACAGTAGGGCATCCTCAAAAATTCTGTGAAATGATGATTTGAAAATAGTGTCAAGCCGAACACCGTGGACATCTGAAATCACGGTTTGGAGACCAAACTACGGCTAGCCAAATATGCCAACTAAGCCGTATACTCCGAAGGCTCCCCACATGTTACCTAAGCTACCCCACCAGTCCTACTAGTACTCACCCGAGATTACGGCTGTGCTTATGGCCCGGTGATTAGAGTTTCACGGCATATCATACCTTTACCCCCGTATGAGCTCTTGGGTTTTCGGATGGTTTGCAGAGTCAGATAGGCCGTGGGCGGGTCCTATATATTGTGGGGGGTCAGGTAGCAGGTTCAAAGGTTATCTGCTCACCCAAACCCACGCCTAGTAAAGAAGAAAGACCTCAGCCCGTGGGATTTGGAAGCGATGGGCGCGACTCCTCAGCGGGCTGTTTGACTGCCTATCCTTAGGAGAAAAGGGGGAGAGGAGGGGGGGGGACAAAAGAGGCTAGTAATGTTCCTCTTTTGCCCAGATCATCTATGAGATATCAGATCCCCTGATAGAGATGGCCATATGCTTTTTCCTAGTCTCTCGAGCTGCCATATGCAGCGCAAGTGGTTTTGGGATGAAAAATTCAAGCTGCAGGTGATTGGGGTAACCAAGTGGAGGACAGGTTCAGAGTTTGGGTTTCGAGTGGCTTTCCGTGATTATCTGCTCCCATAGTCTATGGTTGTGATTTTTAAGGTTTCCAACGGGGCTAGTGTAGCTCATTTTGGAGGCTAGTGAATTGTAGATGCAACGAGAGAAATCCTATAAAAAGGCTAACATCTCCAGATCAGCCATTGCGTATGCTACCATACCATACTCCGTACACACATGCAATCCTAAGCGTGGCCAACAACCTCCCTCTGGGTATACGGTTCCTCAAGATACTTCCTGTCCTCTGCCGTCAATACTTTCCCACAAATCTCCAGCCCTTGCGCAACCCTCTCCACCCTCCCCATACCCACTATCGGCGCGGTAACCATCTCAGAAACCCACACGCTAGCAACAGTAGCCATACTCCACCCCTTCCTATCCGCCACCTCCTTTACCCGCCTGATGATCTCCTTATCGCTCTCACTCTTGCCCACTCCGAATATGCTACCATTCGGCTCGCACGCCGCTCGTATCGTTGTCTCGATGTTCGGCTTCGCCAAGTATCCTCGAGCGAGCGGGGCCCAGGGGATTAGGCCTACCCCCGTTGCATTACAATATGGTATCATTTCTCGCTCTTCTTCACGGTAGAGGAGGGAGTATTGGGATTGCATGCTTATAAAGGGTGTTAGATTGTATTGGTGGGCGCATTGCTGGTACAGGGCGAATTGCCAAGTCCTCATGGTCGAGGCACCGATGTAACGGATTCTATTTTAATGGGAATTTAGTTACGGATTGAGAGGGGTAGAGGGTGTTGGATGGGGGAGGCATACTTTCCGGCTTTCACTAGATCATGCAACGCTTCCATCGTTTCCCTCACCGGGGTCCCAGGATCCGCACGATGTATCTGTAGTAAGTCAATATACTCAATCTCCATTCTCCTCAAGGAAGCTTCCACAGCTCCGAAAATCGCCTTCCTTGAAAGCCCCGCGCGGTTCACCAAGTCCGGCACCTGTCCGGGTTCCCGCGTCCAGAAAGCGCGGGATTCAGGGGTGTTGCCGACGGGGAAGTAGCACTTTGTCATGATGACCAACTGCTCTCGTGGGATGTTATATTTCTTGATGGCTATCCCGACGATAACTTCGCTGAGGCCATTGGAGTAGGCGTCTGCTGTGTCCCAGGTGTTTATCCCCCTATCGAAGGCTTCTTTGAGGATGGGTAAAGCTTGGTCTGCTTCAATCACCCAGGGCAGCCATTGGGAGGTTCCGAAACCCATTGTTCCCAGGATAGGGACTGAGACCGAGAGGCCGGAGTTCCCGAGGCGTTTGTAGGTCGCTTTTTGGACAGCCATGTTCTCGTGGTGAAGCTAATAGTTCTTTGACGGTGGTTAGCCGGAATTGGTAGGGAAGTATCAGGGAAAGTGGTACCCCAATTAATCCGATCAATTAAGCTGATGAAGAATGGTATGGCAGTTCAAAGCTATCGACGGTCCTTTTGTATTTTGGTTTGAACATCAGACAACCAGAAGAATAGAATTGAACCGTCTGGGTCCCCCACAGGGAAACGCCGACCTAGTCCTCCGGACAACCCGGTCAACCCCTCTAGACTATGCCATTCCCGCCATTTGGCGCGGCACGGCATGCAGTGGGTTTTGCAGGCCGGGTGGGGTTCCGGGAACCCCCGAATACAGCTATCTTCCGAGCACACAGGTCACAGTAGCGGCACCCTACCATACCGGTAACCCGCGATGTGCCTCCCGCGCTTTCAACCCTTCCCACATCCCCATGTAGCTGCCCTGATAATACCTGGACAGCCTGGGAACAAATTAAAATTAACTCGAGCTTCAATCTGTAGATCGTTATCGCTCAAAGTCACAAAATGCCGTACGGGTAGAAAAAGAACTTTGTCCCTACCACCCGCATAATGTCATCCTAGCTTGTCATGACTCATGGGCTGGTTTTACTCGGAGAGAAGCATAGCAATCACTACTCGGGTACCGGTACTGGAGTAGAGGTTAATGATGGCACGGGCAGGGTTTCAAAAAGTCAAAAAAACTCCTTACCCTTCCCCGGTATCCTTCCTCCCAAATTAAATCATTCTTTTGCCCATGAGGTTGCTGAGCGCCCGGACCCCAAACCCCTCCTATCCGTCCTGTTGCTAACCTCCATACTGGGGTAAGTTGACGAGAGCCCGCTCACTCACCTTATCACGACATGCGATTTATTATGGAGGTTAGTGACGGGATACTAGTAGATGGGAGATTCGAGTCCCAGGTGCTCAATACCACCGGGGGTAAAAAATGATCTAATTCGGTATGGGCGATGCCAGGAAGGGTGAGAAGCATTGGCATCTTGAACCCCCCACGGTATCTATCCCATGTCTAGCATCTATGGTGTGGGGCATCTCTGTAGCCCGAGTAGCCGGACATCCTCCGAGGCTTAGTAAAAGTATGTTAATATGCCAAGGCTTTATCTTGATAGAGGTTAACTTCTTGGCAAGGGCCCATCAACTGGCTGTGCCAAGAAAATTATCAGTAATTAACATTCTCCTGACATTCTCCCTCTCCTGGCAAAAAAACTCACCTAGTTTTAAACCCCGATAACTAACTCCATGAAAACTTGAGATATTTTCGACCCTTAATTCTCTCCGGAGCGGTTGTTGAAAAGGCTTTGGTGCTTGAAGTCGAGTGATATTTTCTTGGCAACGTATCGTAAATTTAAACCCCTTACAAAAGTCCCTCACCACGCCTGTATACCCAAGCAGCCCCGCAGGTGGGGGGATACTACGTGATTTGGTGTTATGATACCAGTAACTTATTGTTAAATTAGTGATTCGTCCCCCCCGGACTTATTACCAATTTCGAATAAGGTCATCAGTTTTCCAGTTCCCAGAACCTCTCTCTCAAAAAACATTTTTCCCTCGACAGCTAGGGTAGGGGTTCAGGCTGGTTTTCTAGTATAACTGGGAGAGCAGAAGCTCCGGCTCGGAGGGATGGAGGGAGGGGAGGGAAGTGGGTTGTAGGTTATGCGCTCGGGGGGAAGAAAAAAAAAATCGTTCCGGCAGTGACGGCCTTTTCGGAATGGGATGGTAATACCGTAGAGCTTGGGGGCTCGCGTAAATGTGGGTCTAACGGGATACGGGTAGGCGCTGTACCATAAGGCGGGGCAGAAAGTATGATATGATACCGGAAGTTTTCAAATTGGCGAGTGATCCGGTGTGATGGCCTAGCAGATAATCATCGGTATCATACTATATAATAGGAGGCCGGCAAAAGATCTCTCTCCTCCCTCAAGTTAACGTCGAGGTGTCACAGCCAATGTTTTCAGAGTTGATCATAATCGGTGCCCACACCCTCGGTCATCGAATCTCCACAGCGCCAGGAGCGAATTTCAGTACAGAGCTGCAGCCTCTGTAATTTGGTCCATATGTACAGTTCTATCTATCTATATCTACTTTTAATTTTCGGGGGCCCCAAACAGCAAGCAACAAAAGGGAAAACAGAGCGCTGCCAACGTCTCTTCCTGTCTCACACAAGGAGGAGGGCCTCACCCTCCACAGGTGCGGGGAAAAAAGACATTTAGTAGTTACTGGAATTGTGCTTCTTGTACTTGTCGTACTTGCAGCTCTCGCACTCGTCATGATCCTTCTTGGACTCTTTCTCCTCCGACTTCTCACAGGACTTGGGGTCCTCGTAGAACTCGTGTTTGTGGCTATCTTCGCAGTCGTCATACTCTTTCTCCTTGCGGCTGTATTCATTCTCGTCGTCGCACTTCTCGTATTCGTTGACATAGGACCTGGCATACCCGTAGCCCTTGTCGTACTTGACTCCCTTGTCGTAGCCTAGTGAGGTTTTATCTTAGCGGGACATCTCAGAACTCATTGGAGAAGGGAAGGGAAGGGTGTACCATAGCCCAATTCAAAAGCGTGCTTATCCTTCTCGACCTCGTGATTCTTGCTATAGGAATTGGTATCCTTGTAACGCTCACGTTCCTTCTTCTCGCACTCATCGCACTCTTCGCGCTTCTCATCCTCCTTCTTGTGCTCGTCCTCGGAATACTTCTTGTACTTATCGGCCTGCTCGTAGTCCTCCTTCTCCTTGGCTTCAGTATCCTTGTGCTCCACGGTGGTGGTGGTCGTCGTCGTCGTATACTCAGGTTCGTATTCGACCTTCTTGCCGCATCCGCAATCATAGCCGTACCCAGACTTCTTGCCATAGTCGTACCCAGAATCCCCGCCATATCCGTACCCGGCATCCTTGCCACCGCCGTACCCAGAATCTTTACCATAGTCGTACCCAGACTTCTTGTCATAGCCGTACCCGCCACCGCCGTACCCAGAATC